GCTCCGGTTTTGGTTGCCCATTTGGATAAAAGAGCAGAATAAAAATTGGATTGTTGAGAGCAAATTCAAGCGGAAGATCGAGAATTCATATAGACTGAGATTGCAAGAATAATGAGTAGATGCATGAGCACCACTGTTTGCGACAGCCATATTGCACAGTGTCTCTAACCATCAGTGATCATGATCTCTGGGTCCCCAGCCAGGGACACTAACGAGACCTATGTGACCTAGTCTCCTGGGTAGGGTTTTCATACCCTCATGCCAGGTCTTCGCTGGACCACCCTTGATCTTTTTCCATTTGCTACCAGCTTTGGCAAACATCGCTCGCCGCGGCAACCTATCTGGTGACATGCGTAACACATACCCCAACCAAAGTAATCTATGGACGTCGATCACTTGCTCCAGTGGACGACCGCAAATGCCTAAAGCTCTACGCCTAACCTCAGCGTTACTCGTCCGGATGCCCCACCAGACTCGTGCAATGCTATGTAGACAGCGGTGTTCGAACACTGAAACTCTGTTTTTATCCTGTTCCCGTAATGGCCAAGTCTCTGCGCCGTAAAGCAGAACTGGCCGAACCGCTGCAGCATACACTCGACCCTTCACAGACAGCTGGATGTCGCGACGGCGCCACAGATGTCTCAAGTTGGCAAGTACCAAGCGAGCTTTCTGAATGCGCGCCGACACTTTACTTTACTTTACTGTGATGCGTCCGCCAGGTTAGATATAGCTGCCCAGGCTGCAAAACTTATCTTCTTTCTCTACTACTTCCCTAGTTGGGGTGAGGTATGTCTGACCATTAACTCACTTATAACTACCCAATCTGTTCGATGCAATGGACAGCTTGGCCCCTGCGCGATGACCGATGATGTATGGAATTACTCTAGTTTGTGCTCATTCGAGCTTGATAGACGGCTAGTTCTGGGGATTCCAACGAATAAACTAGAAAACGATTAGGATTCTTAGTCAAAGCCTTCAGTTCTGACAGGAACCTGACCGCAAGGCAGCGTTTAAAGCTAATTGGATACCCACTTACTTGTATCAGTAACTCCTCCAGCATTTTTTACTGACAGATGCGAAAGCGAGTAGAACCCCCAATCTCGAGGGTCAGGAGACGGGAATTCGCATGATCTCTACCATCTGATATTCCAATCATGATTGTACTGTATTGTATTATGTAACTTTTACAAACGCGGACGATTGCATTTCACTTAGAAGTCACTCATGACAACCGTCACGCGGAACGGGGTAAAATGTTTGTAAACGGCATAGGGACATTTTACAGTCGAAAGTTTGAATGAAGTTCGTTTGTTACCCTTTGTTTGAGAGCATAAGTGCACGATAGGGTATTGGTTAATTTTGGTAAGTGTTCGTACGATATGGCATTTTTAGAAATGCAGAGCCTGTGGGTGGATGGGAACAACAAGTTGCCAGTTCTGTGTGCAATGGGTGATTAGAGTTTGCGAAAATCTTTCTGAGAAAGTTGACACAAGCAGTCTTTTGATAATCTCAAATTTTCACAAATAATTCACTTAAATAGATTGAAGAAACTTGGCTAATATTCGTTAGACCGCAGTGTATTACTCTAAAATTTCGTTTAAGTAAGGCAAGAAAAATATTTGGAGAAAAATAAAGATGGGAAATGCATAGGTATACAAACGTAGAACACACATATTCTCTACCCTCTGCATCCGATTAGTGACCTTAAATTGAGCCATTGACTGTCATTCCGTAAGCATCTTTGCACTTCATGTTACAGCATGGCCAGGAATGTACGAAAGCTCACTGGCTTGTTTTCTCAACGATAAAAATGACTGAAAGTCTCTAGCACAGACTCAACGTTGGTTGCTTGATTTGTTGTGAAAAATATATCATCCGCATATCGGCAGTACACACAACCTCCGAACGTCCCACTTCTAGAGACTATTGAGCTCCTATGCGAATACATAGCAGAAAACCACTTGGGAACCGGAATGCCCCTTCCCACTCTGAAAGAGCTTCTACTTCGGTGTACATTTGGCGTCCAGTTTTTGTTCAATGGTCGTATCTACCAACAAACGGACGGAGTTGCAATGGGATCTCCTCTGGGATCATTGTTGGCGAACATATTCATTGGGAAACTCCAGAGTGCAATTTTACAAGACCAGATACACGAATTCAGTGTGTACTGCGGATATGTGGATGATATATTTTTCACAAAAAATCAAGCAACCAACATTGAGTCTGTGCTAGAGACTTTCAATGTAAACCACAACTCAATCAAATTCACTATCGAGACAGAGTACAACGATCGGATCCCTTTTTCCTGGATGTTCTACGTATCCGAAACCCAGGTAGAAATAACTGCCTTAGAAGCGCGAAACTGTCTGAGCTTTCGAAGCTAAAATCATCAGGCTCTTGCCCGGACACAGCAACCAAAACGGATGCTTCTGAAGAGCGCCAACTACGACCAACGTGACGAACCTCTAAGCGAATCCCGTGGCTTGTCAGTAATGTGAGTAAACTGTTAGATTGTAGGGGAAAGGTAATTTCCGAAAATTGTTGGATTTATCCCTAAAATCGATTACACTACGCTTCAAACTTTATCCTCACCAGTTCGAAACAGCAAATATTAGTTTCCCGACAAAATTATTAGCTTTTTGTGTCTACTTTGGAGACCATCCATACTGCGATCAACTGACAGTAGATCACCGAACGCATTATATAATTTACAGTGATCACGCTTTTATGTTTAAGACTATATACACCTCCTTCAGTTGTTAGCTATCGGCCTTTATTAGCTGAACCGATGACAAGAAACATGCATGGTGTCTTTTGGATGCTGACTTCAACAGGCTGAACAGGCCAAACTAACATGTTTTAGACTGCATTTGTGTATCAGAGTTGCCGCTACTTGCCGTTTTTTACTCTATCGGTAATTTTTCTATCATACAGGTTTCCCCATTGTGTTCTATACGAGAATCTTGTATCTCTTGCAACGTCTGTTTTCAGCAATGTGTATTTATACGCAATAACATCCGAAAACACGATCTTCCATATGTCCTTCGAGCTACCGTTGGGTCTTTCTTCCTTTCGAGTGTCAGCTTCTCTTATCACAGATGTCGAGGTAAACGGATTGCCCAGACTTCCTTCTTCCGTGGCATGCTATGCTCGTCTTCGTTCTCTTCGAGCTTTATGTCATCCCAATTTATGCCGATACCTGGATGCCACTCGACGAAAACCGGAACGACTTTTTGTGATCACAGAGGCTTACAGCCGAAATGTGGCTGACATCAACGGGCCTGTGTCCGACTCACTATGGCTATCCCTCCGTTTGTCTGAGTGTTTCTCGGCTCTGCATTATCTAGGACAACATGGTTTGGTGCATTCTTGTCTAAACCCGTCTTATATCATGCTGGATCAAAACGGCTGTTGTAAACTTTCTTCGTATGGTTTGTACTACATCACTGGTTGGGGAAGAGAGGTGGATTTCCCAGTTGCGGACCCAATTTATTCGGCACCTGAAGTTTTCTGCTTCTCTCCAATACTTCAAAAGGCCGAAAGTGGTGGATTATCGTCTAATTCAGAGTCTGTATCAATGGAAGCCTTCAGTCATTGTCCCTTAAACACTTCGTCCGATGTGTGGTCTCTTGGGTTGATTTTCTTGGAATTAATTCATGGTCGCCAGATTACCACTTCTCTTCGCCGACCAAGCAAGTGCGGATCACTTACTTCCAAACCATTTACTACAATTCGAGTACTTATTGAAGGTTTACGTTTTTGTAATGAAAAAAACTCCCGGCTCTCAGATTTTCTTCATTTTTTGTCGTTGGACTCGTCTGCTGAAGAAAGGCTTCGAAGTCTTGAACTTTTGTGTCAGGATTGTTTGCATTTCGATGCCCGGTTGCGACCGAAACCCGATAAAGTTATTGAACAACTAGATCTAATTGTGTCTCAGCATCGGAACGCTACTTACCCGGAACATGTTCCGGATATCGCTTCGGTCGAGTTGTCTATGGTTAGTTATTTTATTGATTAATCTTTCTGGCGTTTTAATATTTTTTTCTCTCAAATTGAGGCATAGTACTTAGTAAAATAATTGAGATCTGTATCAGATTAATTGAACTTTAATTTTGACTGGTAAATTAACTAATTTCCCACCTGGCAAGCTTTATCATCGGGCGACTGAACGTGTTTGATTCCAAAACCACCGGTTCCTGTACACTGAATAGTGCTTTTTTTCTTGCATCCACCTACCAATTCATCAATTTAACATAACTTCTTCTAACAATTCCGTGCTTGATTTTTTTAAGGGCATTAGGTTATTCATCACCCAGGTTCTGCTGCTTATCATGAATGCATTTATGCCATTGTCATTTAGATGTGCAATATAAAGACGGCATACTAGTTTGCAACTTGTTTCAAAATGTTTTCCTGTTTTTCGGACTTCCACGTTCACTTGTTATATTTACGTAGGATACATTATCATTCTCACGTGAACAGATTATCACGTGGGACTATTGATTTGCTAGCATTGCAAGTGTAACTATTTTTTGTGCCTCCTCTAGTCAGTAGACGATCAGCGGCGATCGGAACCGTCGAATACGCTTGTACCAGAGACAGTACCGAATGTTTCAACCTTCTCGAAAGCAATCAACTTTCTCACTAACCGTTGTGATATGGCTGAGATTTACCACTACTGGTGCTTAGCCGGTGGTAACTTGGATGTGGTTTGGAAGGAAGCCGAACTGTGCAGCAAACAACGCCTGGTACAGTTATCAACTCCTACGATGCGTTCGATTGATTCATATCCATCAAAGAGCAAACCATGGAACCGTCCACCCGTGTTGCGAATACCTCACTACTTGGCATTAATGCGCAATGAGCTTTCAAGTGTTTTCTATCTCACCGAAAACTGGCCTAGTTCTTTTGACGACGAACGCATCAGGTGAGCGTTGAAAGTGTCCTTTGTTTTGTGTACAGTAGAAAAATGAAAACAGTGGCGGAATGTTCAAATAATTTTTTTCTCTTTCAGAGGCTTTGAACACATTTTCGCTATCGGTTGTTGTTTTATTTTTGAAATGGTAAAAGTGGTGATATTATCTGATTTCTTCCTAACTGCAAGGGACACTGCTTTCTACATGTTCAGGTCGTGGCTATATGACAAATCCATGTAACACTTATAAGCCTTTTCTTCGTCAATTCAATCGATTGTACTATGCCTTCCAGAAAACGGACTGTTACGTGGTTGTCTATGCAAATCGTTCGGACAAAGAAATCTGAAACCATGGATTGCGTTTATGGCGCTCGTTAACATATAATTGGAGTTCTACTTGCTCTTGTGAATTCCATCTCAGGTTTCTCACTCAGGGTGCATGTGTGACAATGTTTCTATCACACATTAAGTACTACCCTATCAACTGATCTGTAACTAACCCATTAAATATCTAAGGTGTTTTATAGGATTCAAATTTTTACAAATCATCGACTGAGGAGTGGAGTCGAATAGCGAAGAACAATGCATCAAAATGACTTGACCGTGTCATTTGAAGAGCTTGTGATCAATTAAAGGAAGGTGGGGATTACAAACCATAGCGGACCTGCTTCGTTTGTAAGCAAACTGTAGTGAATCATTGAGAATGTCCTTCGACTGCTCTAGGCGTTCGGAATGAACTTTTCTGACCTCTTTAGGGCAAGAAATATCAAGATTATGAAAAGAAAGTGCTTTCGTAGAACAGAAGACTCAACTGCTTTTGGAATGAACATAATTTTGATGGGCTTCCAGTAGCTTGGTGTGGTTAAGAACTAAAATGATATGAGCAGTATGAAATAGCGGAAGTGCCAAGTGATTCATTCACAGTGGAGATGACTGCCTCGACGAGAGAATAGATTCACATCGGAGATTTCTTCGCGTAATTTGCCAATCGCCTTTGACCGTCTTCTTTCATCGCTACATATTTTAATCTCGTTCTATTGCTGTATGTTCCCCATGTTTGCAAAGCCCCCTTTGTTCATCATGTTGTTTCCCTGTTTCTCTACCATAGCTTCGATCCCCGCATAGTTCTTTTACCCTATCAACGGCTGTTGGAGCGCATACAGCGCATCCCGCTGGATATCCTCTACCCACTTTTACTACCCATCACACGCTCTCTGATACCAATCGAGTACAACGAGAAGAATGGCAAGACAAACAACAACAACTCGCCTACATCCGTGACTGTTCCGCACGAAATTCACCCCTGTACTGCTACGGGTTCAGAATTGGTCTTGCAGACACGTATCACTCAAATGTTGTTCGACACAAAACCCCTCCCACGGGATGTGGGCATGGAAACGCTCATCCATACTGTCCAAACAGATCCGATGTGTGGGCAACCGGTGACAATCAAAGAACGGGATGTGGAATATCAAGTTCGACGGGTTTGTCTGTTCAATCGACTATTGAACGCGCTACCCGCTACCAAGGTTCGTTTGCGGCTTGAGGTGCGCACGGATATTCCACCATTTCTGCGTGCACGGGTAAGTTTACGGGCACGATTGTCATGATTGCAGACTGTTTTTTCCGTCAGTTAATGCCATGGTTTTTTCCTCACTTTTTGACGTGTTTGGTTGTACGTTCAACCTGACTGTCATTTTATCCACGTGCTCTGATTTCTATTTTGAAATGTCCGTTTCGTTCCTAATCAGATTTGGTCAGCCCTTTTGGGTGTGGACTCCGATCACACCTACCGGGAACGTTATGCGAGAGCTTTATGCAGCACAACAGTTCATCCCGCCAATAAAACGGCAAAAAGTGAGGTTAAAAGTTCGCACGAATCGAACAACCATTCGTCAAGTCAAAATTCGGACACCATATACGGTCTGTTGGATGAAAAGGCTGCAAACCAAATCTCGGTTGACTTGCCTCGATGTCATGCCTATGATGCGCTTTTGGCCTCACCCATGGGGCAAGCAAGTTTGAGACGAGTTCTGGTCGCCACATTGTTGATGCATCCGGGCACCTTGGAATATACACAAGTTAGTTTGTTCTGCTAGCCGAATTTCTAGTCCTTGTATTGTTTTGTATGATATTGATAGACTGTTTAAGCAGATGTTTGCATTCCACTCGAAAGAAGAAACACGTGACTCACTCACTCATTCTGTCTTCTTTCTCTTTGAAATCGTAGGGTATGGACTCTGTGGCCGCTGTGTTTGTCCGTTTGTGTTTCCCTGACGAAGCCCTCGCAGCAGCCTGTTTGAATGCTCTGTTGCGCACCAAGCTGTCCACTTTCTTCTCATCGGATGGATTTACCCATGGTTTGAAACAGTTCTTTGATGTACTACTTCGCCTATTCGCTTTTCATAACCCCAGTCTGGCCGTCAGTTTAACGGACTTGAACGTGCCGTTAGTTGGTTTGACCACCGGTTGGATTTACACACTTTTCGCGCATGCCATGCCCTTGGATCGAGTCGAACTGATGTGGGACACATTGATTGTTGGTCCACCCTCATTGTCCATATTTTTCTATCTGGCTATCTTTCTGCAACTAGATCAGCAAGTGAATTTTGAAGTGAGTCCACGCGTTGTACCATCTGTTTGATGCGCTACAATTGATACTCGGAGTGAATTGCACGCATGTTTGAGAGGACGTCGGTCGCTTGTACACCTTTTTCCGATAACATTTTAGGATGGACGTTGGCGAGTGGTGAGTAGTGTCTAGTTAACATGTCTGGTTGCGCTGATCTCTGTCATGCACCGCCCGCTTGATGCTGCCATAGTATTGCACGATGCTTGATCTCTCTGTGCCTGATTTTGATGTGAATTTGTCTGTAATTCCAACGGTGAACCACGCATGACTCGAGTGTAGACAAGGTGAAATTGTACTGGAGGCTGGCTTATTGGTGGTTAATTCGTGCTCGATTTTTCTGCTTGGAATAGGCTGTACTCTTTGTTAAACAATGATTGATGAGTTCCGGCCGATAGGGGAGGGGGCATACTCCATTTTTTAATTATAAGAATTAATATGGGGATCTTTTGCCGTAGAGTTGAAACACTCTGAAAGTGCTCGTCATTCATAACGTTTGCTTTTTATGTCGATTGTGAAAAGTTCAGTAGCCTCGGTGGGATTCGAACCCACGCATGGACACCGCTGTAGCTAAGTTCAGTAGCCTCGGTGGGATTCGAACGCACGCATGGACACCGCCCACGCTTTTTACGCGCGTCTACCAGCTGAGCTACGAGGCCACACCGATAGCGCTTCATTTTCACATTCGAATTTACCCATCCAACTTACAGAGGCATGTGGCATCCACCAGTTACCACGTAAAGCTGAAGGTGAATTGTTCAAATAGTTGTTTGCCACATTTGAAGTTTGTATGTGGATTGTGAAAAAATGAATTGTTCAAATAGTTGTTTGGCAGATTTGAAGTTTCTATGTCCATTGTGAAATGTTCATAGCCTCGGTGGGACTCGAACGCACACATTTGAAGTTTGTATGTGGATTGTGAAAAGTTCAGTAGCCTCGGTCGGATTGGAACCCACGCATGGACACCGCTGTAGCTAAATTTCAGTAGCCTGGCTTTCAGATTTGAAGTTTCTATGTCGATTGTGAAAAGTTCAGTAGCCTCGGTGGGATTCGAAACACATTTGAAGTTTGTATGTGGATTGTGAAAAGTTCAGTAGCCTCGGTGGGATTCGAACCCCGCATGGACACCGCCTACGCTTTGTACGCGCATGCTCTACCAGCTGAGCTACGAGGCCACACCTATAGCGCTTCATTTTCACATTCGAATTTACCCATCCAACTTACAGAGGCATGTGGCATCCACCAGTTACCACGTAAGGCGACTGCCTCGACAGGTTTACACAGAGAGGCATGTGGCATCCACCAGTTAGCATGTAAGCTGACTGCCTCGAAAGGTTTCTTACAGAGGCATGTGGCATCCACCAGTTAGCATGTAAGCTGACTGCCTCGACAGGTTTTTTTACAATTCACCGGACTCCACCGAATGAGCTTCTAAGACAAGGTTAATTGTTCAAATAGTTGTTTGGCAGACTTGAAGTTTGTATGTCGATTGTGAAAAGTTCATTAGCCTCGGTGGGATTCGAACCCACGCATGGACACCGCCTACGCTTTGTACACGCATGATCTACCAGCTGAGCTACGAGGCCACACCGATATGTGGCCTCGTAGCTCAGCTGGTATGCATGCGCGTACAAAGCGTAGGCGGTGTCCATGCGTGGGTTCAATCCACCGAGGCTACTGAACTTTTCACAATCGACATACAAACTTCAAATCTGCCAAACAACTGTTTGCTTTTTAGTTCGCTTTCAATAACCGTCAGTAGTAGTCAGAAATGTGGTTGAAGAATTTTGACTGGGGTGTCTCTAGCAATCACGCAAGATTATCTGTCTGCTCTCTTACGCGTAGAATCCATACTGAATGGATGTAATGGATGTTTAAAACTGGGTTCTAACCTTGAAATTTCTTCAAATATTGTATACTCGTTACTCAGCTTGCTTAAGTGGGCTATAGGATCAGAAGTGGCACACCTCTTGAGGCTAAGCTTGTACGCCATTATGTTATGAGATTCATTTTTCGTGCATGCACTCCTTTAGACAGAACCCTTTTGTACATGTGTGTAATTATTTGCATACTGCCTGTTTGACACACCAGTGTTCGCTCGGGAAGGCTTAATCTTTTCAGTGTTCGTGTGGCATTGTTTCCGGACAAACTTATGGTTTATTGTATCCCGTTTTTGTCACCGTTTTTTCTGTTGATATGACTTTGTTCCAGTTGAGTTGTCCTTGATCACTGCTTTTGTTTACTACACTTTGCCCATAGCGAACTACCGTTTATGGTTCTCTGAGAATCAGATAAGTGTGCCCATTATCTGCACGTAGTGAATGCGTAGTGCGTTACTCGCCCCCTCACGTGAAGCCGATAGCCGAATTTTTAAACCTACCAATAGACTTCTTATGTTCTGAAATTAGATGGAAATGCTTCGCATAACGATCTTAATGATGATGATGATGATGATGTTTCAGTTGTTGTTTAGACATCGTAAAAATCAGAATCTCTCTACATTATCTGGCGAAGTCATTGCAACTAATTAAAACCGCCCTGTTCATCAGGCATGCCATCTCATCAGTAGCTCGAAGCGAATCAGTCGAGTGTACACATAAACGTTGCTTATAGATCGAAAGTAAATAGCATATCAGGGCTATGCAATGAGCAATACGAGGGTTGAGGTAAAGTTTTGGGATGCACAAAAGTTTTATTTGGTACACAAAAATGAGCATTACATTTTCTGGAAGTAGTTTCCAGCGTTCATGCACAGTTCCATGCACTCAAACCATTTGGTGAAACAGCTTGACCATACCGAAGCCAATAAACCTTCCACCAGTTCAATAAAAGCCTTCACTACATCTGTTGGTGACTCGTATCGGATTCCACGCATCATGAACTTGCCATTTGGGAACACAAAATAGTCACACGGGGTCAGGTCTGGTCTGTAGAGTGGGTGACCAACATTCTGGATGCGTTCGCTAACCAGAAAATCGTGACAAAGAACCTGTGCACAGGTGTGTTGTCTTGGTGCAGCAAGCTCTCTCATGCTGGAGTCCTTGGACGACTCCTGGCAACGGCTTCCAGCACTTTCGGCAGACTGAGTGGCATATCAGTCTCTGGGGACTGCATTGCTGTGCGAGCGATAGAGTAGCCATGTGATCATTTTTAGCCATAAACACATCCACCATCTGCTTTGTCACACTGCATTTGCGTCGGAATTTCTGAGGCAGCGTCCCACCAGCCGGCGGCCACTGGGCCGATTGTTGCTTGATCTCTGGGTCGAAACTGTACATCCAAGTATCCTTACGACTGATGATGCCCGAAATTGTATTGGAACGTCCACCATCAAACCTGGCAAGCATGGTGTGGCACCAATTCACTCGAACTGCCTTCTGTTCCTCACTGAGCCGATGTGGTACCCAGCGTGCGCAAACTTTTCTGAAGCCAACCATCTCATGTAGACTGGTGCGGATCGATCCCGATTACTTTTGCCAGCTGTGACACTGTCACCCGCGCATCCTCCTTTACAATCGCGTGCACAGCGGCAATGTTGTTTGCTGTGATGGCCTCCACAGGTCGACTACACCGTGTCTCATCATCCAGCGACCGCCTCCCACGCTTGAATTCCGCAAACCACACACGGTGCTCCTTGAAGGCGAGTCATCACCAAAGGCAGCTCTCAAACGATCAACACCCTGCTACTGCTTTAAACCACATTTGAGTTCCATTTTTACAGTCCGACCAGAGCGACCCTCGTATGACTTGTGCGCTGTGCTCGGCTGGTGATATTTGGTTCTGTGAGTTGCAATCACTGAACAATATTCGCAATAAATTACACTTCGTGTTTTTCTTACCCGCCTTACGTATACTGTGCATCCGAAACTTTTTCACAGTCCTCGTACACTCGTGAACTATTATTAAAATTTTCCATTCCATCCACCACTCTTGTGTTTTGTCTTTTGCGCACGGATGCACTGAAAAATGGCACATTTCTGGTGTGAAATGAGTATTTGTGACCTCGATTTCTGCTCAATAAGGTTCAATATCGGTGACCAGTAGGCTTGCACTCAGAAACCGGCAGATCAGTGAGCTGCTTCCTCTCTTCGGCCCATTGCTCACTCTCGATTTTTTTAAAAACTTTCTCTTTCACGGTATCAGATCCAAATTTGGAACGGATGTGTTTGAAGAAATCGTGCGTCGTGCTCATAGGATCTAATTCTTCTCTTTCTTGAGAATCAACCAACTTCGTACAGAACTCCCCATGAATATCCATTGATGTAGGTGACAAAGTGCTACTCCCAACCGTATTCGGCTTTCACATGTTGATTCATCATTAGTCCCGTTTAGCGGTTCTCACAGACCAACCAATAAGTATTGGTGTGTTTTGATAGTCCTTAGACTCCTGTGTCGTACACTCATTTTTCGTCATCCTTTCCAACTAGTGAATTACAAAAACAGGGCTCCTTTATGGTGATAACAGTTTAAAGTTGAGCACCAGATGCGGGGTAGTTCCATTCTCTTTTCCTTTTACACATCTACCATCGTTGTCATCCTGAAATGATTGACGCATCCTTTAAAATCAGAGTCACCATTGGTTCCCTCAGTTTCCTGTATTGATTTATCGTGTGCACCACTCGTTAGTTATGTTCTTGTCTTTTGCCTAGTTCGATCGCTTTTCATTCGAGCGAATAATGACAAAGAGGTGTCACTGGATAGGAACAAGTAATGGGATTGCCTTCACTCAAAAAAGTAAACGTGTGAACGCCGTGATTTGGATCAGTTCAGTTTAACTTGGGTTTTGGCTAAGAAGTCGTATAAATTTCATTCAAGCTTTCAACCGACCCCAATCTCACACACTGCTTATCCGGTTTTGACGATTCTCGATGAGTTGTGATAGTTACGCATAAGGTGGGATGACTACTTCCATTCCATCTATACTGAGTGCTGTATGCACGTTTATGAGAAGCCGTTACGATCAGGCTTTACTCGGGTGGGCAGGTAAATTAATAGTGATCGGCAATGATGCCATTGATCCTTCTCGAATATTCGTCGCTGATGTGGTAATCATTTGTCCATCCCTGACAGTTCAGGCCCCAGTGCTCCTTCCCCGACGAGACCTTTTCGGTGATAAACAGAGTGCGTGCCAAACAAAATATTACTTTGTTTCTCCCTTTCTTCACCAAGTGAATCTTAAAGGTGCTCTCCATACAATCCCATTCAACTGTTGTTGCGTCGGGACCATGTCACTCATTTAACTCCCACTATATCAAAGGTCTATGTTATGATTCGTCGATTGTGATGAACAGTTCAACGTCAAAATGTGGTGGTAGGTGTCGAAGTATAATGGGGGAACAGCCATCCCAAATGGAGAAAGTGGTCTGCAAGTAGAACACTGGTACACTAATAGATCCGGTGAAAAGTTCTCGCAAGCACGAATGCCGTTTTGCCAGTTTCCTTATGTCTGTCTTTTGGCCTGCAAACTTTGTACGGCCTAATAAATACTCCCCCATGTCTCAATGTTTATTTTTAGTTTCCTTCCCCATATTCTCGTTAGCTTATGCTTTTCCTCCACATGCGTATACATGAACTGTCACACAGTTTATTCCGCTATTTGAGTTGCACAAATTGCTCTCAGATATTGACCCGTCATATCATGCCTATCATCCCTGTTTAATCAGCACCATCATCTCTTCTGTGCATCATACTTCTTCTCTGTTTTAATAGGCCCTGGGATTAGAACAAATCTGTACAATCCTGTCCAATTTTCCGGAAATCGATTTGGACAAGTGTCGCGCTGATGCCCTGCGCTACGCATTGGCAACTCCGGTCAGTTTGACACGAAGTAGTAGCTGGTCCCCCGCCATCGGAACAAACTTAACCGTAACAAATTATGCCGGCAGAGATGCGAGGATATCTCGGTTATCTACAAACGATTCGAGCTCGGGGGCTAACCGGCGTTCGATTGAATTAGCAGAATCTTTGCAGGAGCATACAAAAGATTTTGCGACCTCTGCTTTCTATGCGGTATGTATTTTAACATCTGGTTGCTCAAATTTTTAAATTATACATTCTTATTTTTTAAGTTATTTCAAAATTTATGGTCTGATCAGAATGAAACCGTGCGATGTATCGTGTATGCACAATGTTCAAAATAAATGAGATTGCCAAATTATCGAAGTTCAAACTCCGCAGGTAAACGTAGACTCCCCAATTTTATTCAAAAAATATTCGCATCCATTGTCATTTGTGCGAATGAGATTTTACATACAAGTAGATCGTTTCATGTTTTCTACTACACCTGTTAGCCGCATCACTTTCGCTCATTTAACGGTTTTCTGCTTTTTACCTGTTGGACTTTTCTCGCATAACCACTGCTATCACCAATGCATGGCATCTACATTCGTGTTTAATCATCTCGTACTTTGTTTTTAAAATCGCTTTTAGCATTTTGAGACTCGCATCAACCCTTCTGCGCCTTTTACTATTTTGCACATTCAGCGACTTTGTTCTCCGGATGCCTGGCCTGAGCATTTGGAATGTATCCAAACTCATTCAGAATCGAAATCAGCGGGTCAACCATTGACTTGGATGTTTGATGACCCATTGGTTTCTCTGTTGGATGTGACAGACGCTTTGGAACACCTGATTCGTCCTGACTGTGTAGTGATCGACGTACGGCCGAAGGCTGATTATGTTAAGTGAGTTCATCATGATACCGATTCATCCCGGGGATATTTGCAGTTTTAACGGCCCAGTTAGTGCACCTTACATCCGGTTTGACACATGTGCGGTGTACGGGTTACTGGGTTGTTGGGTGTGTATCGTTACCTTCACAAATCTGACTGCTCGAACACTGGTTCACACTGCAATATGTTCTGATCTACTTGTCCTGGCTGATTTCCGTGCCGGGGACTAGTATCTATCTATCTATCTACGCATGCTAATTAAGGCTCTTCTCGTGTGGCTTATAGATAGATGAAGTCACAGAAACAACGGTTACTGTTGTGGCAAAACGATCGAATACTTGTGTGCAAATGAATGTGTATCTCTCAGTTGTTTTCTTGTGCAACCAAATAGTTTCAGCGAGAACGAGAGAGAGATGTAAATACTAAACGCAGTTGTTTTCTCTACCGGAATGGACAGTCCCGAAGCATTTTTGTTTCCAAACTCAAATGCTAATTCAATAGGTAATTAGATTTTTCACCCAACATTCAATTCAATCGGATCCGGATACGTGCCACCATCCTACATAGCTATTTGTTTTCTGGTTCAAAATAATTGAGAAATATCTTAATATTCCTTTTGAGGA